AGAAGGACAAATTTCCTCAGGTGGCATCCCAACCCGAGGGGGGACATTTCAAACACAGACCCACTGCTCTGAGCAGACCGCTCAAAGGGGGTCTCCGGCGGTGCCCCGTTTATACCTTGGCTCGGATCTGAGCTGTGGCCATCATGGGGGTAGTGGGCCTAGTTTCTGGTAGGTTTTAAGTTCATCCTTTAGAACATTAAGGGCTTCCATATGTCATGGAGTCCGATCCCATTTTGGACAACACTGGGGGGCTTTTTCGCTTGGGTTAAAATAATATTGATCTTTCGTTCTAGTAAACATGTCTGCTCTCTCTCTCATTGTAACTCTGCTTTTAAGCATTTGATTTCTAATTGACTCTCAGAATTATCCTTTTCCGCCTGCCTAAAATACCCATATTGGTCCCGCACTTGATTCAAGTAGGCACTCAGTATGGCACACATGGTGCTTTTGCTTCTGCCATCTCTCTTGTTTCTGTGGCATTTCTCTGTCCTTCCTACAACAGCCTCCGGTTCACACCACTTCTCCCTCACCCTTTCCATTCCTAAGGGAGAAGGGTCACAACCGTGCCTCCGTAACAATCCCTCCACCCACACCCTGCTTGCTGTGCCAATTATAAATATCACGGAGGTACGCTAAAACTAATTCAAAAGAAGGACAAATTTCCTCAGGTGGCATCCCAACCCGAGGGGGGACATTTCAAACACAGACCCACTGCTCTGAGCAGACCGCTCAAAGGGGGTCTCCGGCGGTGCCCCGTTTATACCTTGGCTCGGATCTGAGCTGTGGCCATCACTGGTCGTGACCCAGAAGCTTCTCCGAGCCAAGGCGCCTCATTGGCTGTGGGTCCTATTATGTGGGTGCGTGGCCGGGGGCCCCCGCCCCTCCTGCTGACGACACGGCACGGTGCCCTGGGGGGGGAGGGGCAAGGGAGGGGCGGAGTGTACCTGTCACAGCCTGCCATATAAGGAAAGGCTGAGAGAACAGGGTTTGTTCAGCCTTGAGAAAAGGCTTATGGGGAGACCTTACCACCATGTTTCAGTACTTAAAAGGTGGCTACAAAGAAGATGGAGACTCCCTTTTTACAACAAGTCACATGGAAAAGACAAGGGGTAATGGGTAGAAGTTACTCCTGGGGACATTCCAACTGGACACAAGAGCAAAATTTTTCACAATGAGAACAGCCAGCCATTGGAATAATCTCACCAGGGAACTGGTGGATTCCCCAACATTGGGCACTTTTAAGGTTCAGCTGGTGCTGGGCCATCTTGTCTAGACTGTGCTTTTGCCAAGAAAAGTTGGACCAGATGATCGTTGAGGTTCCTTCCGACCTTGTATTCTATGATTCTATTATGATCACAGTATAAGCACTTCTTACCGAGGAATAAACTAGTTGCTGGAAGATGTTGTTTTGGAAAGTAGGGTAGAAAAATCAGATATTCCTAGTAATCCCGCACTTAGTCATACATATACAGAAAAAGGAAAATACTCAGAATTTTGATAGCCTGTGGGTAACAAATTGATCTGTAATCATTACCTGAATATGACGCAATATGTGCAAATAGGAGGAATCCAAATGCATTATAGATGCTACACACCCTTTCTGAACTATCCAACATTAGTCACCAAGAAAGAAGCATATCAAGAAAGAGAACATTTCTCTGTTTTGTGGTGGCAGTTCTTAATGTGCTGAATGCTTGTGATTTTTTTGCCTAGCCCGGAGCCATAATAACCAGAAGGATCTTCTTCCTTTCCAGCTTTGTTGTGCATATTTCAATATGAAGATCTGATCAATACTAAAAATGTTGGACTTGTTTTCTTATAGGATAACTGTAAAGTTAGATATGGCAGCACTGCTTGAGCGTTTATTAATCCAGAAAGTTCTTCACTCTGTATGTCACTTGCAATTTTTTCTTCTTGTCTTAATTTGAAATATGCTGCATATACTGCAACACTTATTACATATGGAAACCAGAAGCATGAGAGGAAACAAATGTCTTGTAAATTCCAGAGTAGTTGCTACTTAACTTCATTATTTAAATAATATGATTAGGAGTGTGCACACTTAGCACAAATTAATTACTTATGTGCAATAATATACATGTATCAAATGCCAGCTCTTCATTTGGTCTCAGTGGAGACAAGAATTTATTACTCATTCTCTAAGCTGGGACAAATTGCAATTGGTACTTCTGCTTTAAGAGATGCAGAGCCAAGCAGAAGCAGATGTTCAATTCAGATTGTAACATTTCAGAATTTGTTATTTCACAGAGATGTTTTAAGAAAGTTGTCTCATCACTACCTCTCCATCCCTACGTTTGGTAAAAAAATGTGCCAGAAACCAACCAACCAGAACTCATAACTCCAGTCAAAGCTCTGAAAAGATGAAGCCTGGTTGCTCCAAAAAGCCATGTGAAAATGACTCAGAGCAGGGACTAGGAGTGCTGCAGGTGCAGATATACCCTGCATGAGCAGATTGGGGTTGGAAAGCAGCGTGTGCACATCCAAGAGTGCTGTGGTCCTTGCAGACTCAGGTTGGAACAATCTCTGAGATTGGTATGTTCCACAGGCAATAGAAATATTAATCTCATTTCTCTGCTATGCCTGTCTTGCAGATTCTTCTATTTTCATTCACAGGTATCATGCAGATTTGGCTTTTCCTGGGGTTATTCAGTAACCCCATCTTTCCTATCCTCCCACATTGCTGAGATTTGATGGTAGGTAAATGAAGAAAACCTTTGAAATATTAGAGAAGCTGCCCTGCATTAGGCTCACTTGTCACTCCAAGCTGCCTATAAACGCAGCGGAGAAAGTGTAGTTCCTCATTAAGCCACAAGGGACAGTATCGGTCTGAGTTTGGAGTATTCCTGGGGCCTTCCTGCCCCTTTCCTACCTCCATGCTGGAGTCAAATTCTTGGTAGAAAGACTGACAGAACAGGAAGTAGGGAGCTGCTAGACTTCTGGGTAATGAGAGTTTTAAATAAACTGAAACTCATCTTGCTTCAGGGCAAAAACTGGCCCTTGTATAAAGGGCCTAGAACATGCCATTCCTAGAAGCAGCAACTGTTGGGAGTCTTGCAACTCCCTGAAAAACCCTGGTACTAGCCAGTTAAGAAAAACACTAAAGGCGGGGAGGATGAATATGCTAAGCAGAGATGGGAGAACAGCACTAAGGATGTAAAACCAGAAGTGTTTCCAGTTGCCAAAGCCAGTAAAGGGACATGCTATCCTCCTTTCCACACAAGCTGATGGCAGTGCTGCAGGAAGTCCTGCCAGGAAGGAATTATAATTGAACCCTGTGTTGATAGCAGAGGAGCTCTGTTGCCAGGAGGTCACTAAAACATACAGTTACCTTGAGCAAGACGCATGATAATGACCAAACTCAAGAAATTCCTTTGCATTCAAAAGAGAGAATGAGGCTTACTATAGAAAATGTGCAGCTAAGAGCAAGGTTAAAATTGTCCATAAAACCAGATAAAAACTTCACATGTAAATCCAATCCATCTTTAACTCATGAAGATAACTGACTCCATTCTGCCCTCAGAATTCATGACTGGGGGTGGGGGTGTAAAACATACTACAGGCAGGACTCTGGTGTTGGGCTTCAACAATGCCAAAAGGGCACTACACAGATGTTTGGCAAAATGCAACAGGGCGCTACATAGGTGACTTTTAATGAGAAGTAGATAAAGGGTTCCGTTTTTCTCCCCTCCCCTATTCTGAATATTAAGAGAAGATAAGAAGAGGTCCATCTCCCAAATGATTAAAAGCAACAGTGCAAAATGTGACTAGCTCCTGACATCTTCACACCACTCTCTGAACACTGCATAACATTGCCTTTCCCATCTTCAAAAGGGGCTTACATTTCAATTCTAATTTCAGGCCACCCTTCTGTGCAGAAAGCATGTTAGGACCTCTGCTGTTCATGTTAAGAACATGTCCATGCACCTGGGAAAGGCACCTACCAAACTATCTCATTTGCTTAGCCTCAGCCCTTAGTCAACAGGGCTTGATGCCCTTTGATAGGGGCCATCTGAGCCCAGTCTAAAATCCCTTACCCCACTGAGGGGAAGGGAGGCACACAGGTAGCAGTACTGGAAAAGTCAGAGCTCAAACTGTGCAGACAGTGGCTGAGGCCACATCACCCTGGCTGCAGGTGCCTCAGCCGCTCCAGACGACAGGACAGACAGAAGCTCCTGAACCTCAAGCCAGTGAGGAAAGGAAAGACACCTATGCCTCCTGCCTCCTCACGACGGCAGCTCCTCTTTCCCAC